TTGATCCACCCAAGAGAGGGAAGTCAGGTCGGTCTGGAGCGTTCTCGGTCCTGGTGAGTCATCCTTTGAATGCGTCTCACCACCGGAGTGTAATATCTGATCAGTGTTTAATTGACAGCTCCTTGTGCTCTGCAGGGGGATCCTATGGTTGACGGACAGGGTGACAGGCCTGAAGGGAGCATGTAAGACGTCAAAGTGCTGCAGGATGAGAATAATAATCATAAGGAAGGACATGCACAGTATATCTAAATAGGAAACTTAAAAGCATTGTAACAGAGGAAGGCTGTAGAAATCTAACTTTCACATTAAAAACCTAACTGTGTTTATTTAGTGTTTTATCGGGTAGTTTCTAAGTATTATATTATCAGAAAGCTGGCTTGCATTAATCTGAGCTACTCTACAGTACGTTCAGTTTTACTCTGTGTCTGCATGTTATAATAAGAGATCATGTGTTAATATTTTACTTTACCATTTTGCTGTAACCAACTTAATCGCATCTAAATGTTTGGAGTATATTTTTGCACAATTATATAAGGGTTTCAATAAACCTTTAATAGAGTTATAATTAATATGTTTTTAAAAATTAAACATTTTCTACTCTTTTATAAAGGAAATTTGATGTTTCCATCTCTTTACTCCATCATGAAATAGATTTTATTTGAATTTCCATGCAATACTGTACCTGTTATAGGTTTAGTTTGTAACTGGCACTGGTGGCAGTAGGGTGGTTGCATCAAGGATTTACTAAATATCTACTAATCCAGTCAAATTAGTGCAGCCAATGACAGAAAACTTCCATGCAACAGAGAGAGAGAGTGGGGGGAATCTAATTCAAGCCCAGACCATCTGTTGCAGGGGCTGGACTATTTAAAAAAAAAAAATCTAGTGCCATTTGGATTATTTTTGGTCAGAAATGGAAAGGCAGTTCAGACTGGATATAGAAAGATTAGTTTGAGCATTGCACTGGGAACAAGGATGGGAAAATTTGTGCACAAAAAGAGATCTTTGTCTTTGTGACTGCTATGTTTGTTCCATGTGGAAAAAGTACCGGTGTGTTAATGTAATGATTGATGAACATAAGAACAGAGAAGCCTGTTTCATTTACTTGGCAAACAGAACAGTCCATCCAATAGCGACTTTCCAAAGGCTTATTGTAACCTTCTTTTAACATGCCTTGTTAAATAAAAGGCCAGTTTATGTCGATTTTATGCGAAAGACAAACATAGAGGAAAGCCTAAAGAAACATTTCCTGGTTTTGCAACATCTCTACCAGCATTCCAGCTTTTTAATTCATTGTTCAAATCAAATGAAGTTACTGATTCAATTGTTTCCAACTGGATAAATAACACCTTTTATCAAGAAGGTCAGGTTTTTCTATAGAATTCCAGACTAAACATTGATTAGGCCATTTCAATGCAGAGATATGAAGGGCTATTACTCTGCTGGAAGGTAGACATCTTATCCAGTCAGGTTTTTTGCACATTCTAGCAGGTTTTCTTCAAAGATTACCATGTATTAAATTCCACCCAGTTTCCAAACAACTTCTACCGTATTCCAGCATCTTTACAGGCTGATGCTGCCACTACCATGCTCCACTACAGTGTTTATGTGTTCAAATTTGATTGTGGTTTTCTTCTGACCTGATTGCCTTTAACAGGTTCAGCTACCACAGGCCTCTTCCCTGCTTATCTAACTTATTCTCTGCTTGTCCAGCCTGGTAGTTAAGGTGGACAGCTATGTCTTGATAGTTTCTTTTTACACATTTTGGATGATGGACTGAACAGAGCTCCATGATATTTTACAAGCTAAGGATTTTGTTTTAGATTTATTTAAATGTCCCCATAACTACATCTCCTGGTTTGGTGTCTTTCTCCATCTTTGTGCTATATAAAAAAAGTTGAAATGGCATGAATACATTTGTAAGAAGCTGTGTAAGTAAGTGAGCTAAAAGGGCCATTGAAGTAAATAGGGAGACTGATTCACTCCTTATTTTCTGATTAAAGCCTTTACCCCAGGTGACGTAAGACGAGAAGTGCTCATGATCCCATTTTCATGCTTTTTCCAGGCACAGACAGAGAGAATCACAACAAAAAATTCTATTTATAAACCTGGCATTTTCCCCCAAAGCACATAATTGGAGCTAAACATGCTTCAGCAGCTTGCTCTGGGAGAAAACAGACAAGCATAAAGCCCTGATGTTGTCACTCAGTCATCATGCAGCCTGAATTAGCAAGATGGGATCAGTCTCAGTTGTCCTGTAGGCAATCCATCATGGGAAAGAAGATCTGATTTCTCTGAATTACTGATGGAAATAAAAAGAAATACCTAATTAGGAGAACAAGAGAGAAGCATTCACAAAGTTGTAACTAAAACCATCAGCTGTTTGAAGCCTGAGGTGCAAAAAAGCCAACAAGGCAATAGATTTTTTTTAGATAATGTTTTATCAGCAAATATTTGTTTCTGTGAATCTAAGTGTGAGTCTGAAAAAGGCAACAGGTGTGGCCCCTAGAAAGAGGGAACGCTTGTTGCTGTGATTCTGTCCATGTGGTGTTGTAATGGTGTGCGGCTTTAATTTCACTTCGTTTTTGGCTTATGACCCCACCTCTCGAAAGCAAAACTGATCATGAAGACCAACCGAATAATCTGGAAGCTATTAATCTAAAGGTCTGTGGTAGGAAGTGATCCAAGCAGGGTGGTATCTCAGACTTTCCCATAAAAAGCTCAGTCAGGTTCATGTGTAGTTAGTGGTTTTTGCAGTCAATTCCTCCAAGCGCTTGGAAACCACGCTATAAGTGATAGCTTCACTCTGACCCAGATCGGCTCATCCTGAACAACATGCAATGTGGGATAAACACAGTGATCAACAAGTTTGACGAGCATAGCAAAGATGGGCTGGAACCTTTGAGAATTACCCTGTTTTTAACATTTTGGATTCAGTCTTTCATCTGTGTGTCTATAAAGCACATTCAGAGCAAAAATAATCCTAAATGTTTTTTAAACTTACTTTTATCAAAGGTTGGGGTGGTTTAGTATCATGATGACATCTTTTGGAATCAGCCAAACGACTAAATTGTTTAGTGCATTGAGACAAAGGCAAGGACTTCATTTAAAATAATGAGGTAAGCAAAGCTATCAGCTGGTCAAATATTCCTCTTACTGTTTCCAGTTATGTGATTAATTCACTGCAAATTCTTACATATAAATTTAATAAAGATTTCAAAACATTTTATAAATACCATTTGTTGTGCACTTGAAAAATCTGTTTGCTTTTCTCAACGGTAACAACGTAAAGTAATACTACTACTGAAATATGCCATTCCGTTAATCATATTATGGATGGATGGATGGATGGATGGATGGATGGATGGATGGATGGATGGATGGATGGACGGACGGACGGACGGACGGATGGATGGATGGATGTTGAGGGTTTCTCAATAACCATGATCTGAAATCCAACACTTTGGCGCAATATTTTGACAAACTTAGCTTGTATAGCTAAAGCAGCTAGCCAAGACATGAACTTAAAATTTCCTTTTTGTCCAACTTGTGACAGAGATTAAGCTGCCGAATATTAAAGATTCAGTTTTTTACTTTAAGGATTTAGAGAGTTTATTACGGATTATTAGCTATATGTTGCAGCTAGTTGCTTCCTATTTAGTCAGTAAATACATTATACCAATATTTGCTTATAGTACCTGTATTACCACTGAACGCACCACAAGTACCCCCTATTACAAATGCTACAGATGGAGATTATTGGTTTTAAAATAGTTTAAATGGGTTTATATGGTCTTCTTATATAACGGGCTGAACATAGGTGGGTAGAGTACCCAAAAAGTTTAATTAAATGTAAAGTGAAGGATCAGCAAAAAAAGTGGTCCTCCTAATTGTCAATCATTCTGGTGATATGTTTCTGTAAGGCCGTCCCTACGTGCTCGTCCCCGTTTTCACTTACACATAGTGGAAATTGCAAATCTTCTTTTGGAAAGTAAGCTTGTATGAGCGACGCAAACAGCTTTTAAACAGAGCGTGCACAAAGAGAAATGGGTTCATGCACGCTCTCGTAACAGTTTAATAGGCTTTCCCTCTTGAGAGCAGGTTCTTACTCAAGTACTGAGTAACTGATCTACCTACTGTACTACCCATGATCAGAACAATAGATCTAATCATTTTTAAGCTATAAAACTTACAAAATCAATAGTCACAGTATGTAGAATAGGTTCAATTACAGTACAGTGTTTACTGTTTTTCACTCAACATGAAAATGACACAACAGACACAGTAGATGGAAAATAGCATCTAACCAATAAGCCAATAACCAATAATAGATACTTTATCATGTTTACTGTACTTAGGTAAATGTTAAAAGTACAATCCTGTAAAACTATTCCTTAAAGTACTTTTTATTTTTCAAAAAGTTACTCAAGTAACTGAGTGAGTGCAGCTAGTTACTACCTCTAGGGCCGACAGGAATGTCAACCTTGGCAATGATTCAACACACACCTTTTTGGTGCTAAATCCTTGGTTCCCATGCAAGTTGTAATATTCTAAATTGATTTTGGCATTTTGTGTTTTACAATCTGCGCTAAGCTTAAAAAACAAGTTTTGACGTTCAGTGATAAAACTTCCCCTTCATATGTTTTTGATTCTGAAATGGGAAAACTTAGTAAAGACCTCATGCTACAATTATTCTATGGTAACGTTTTTAACACATTTAGGTTCAGTTCAGAATGTATAAGCCAACAAGCAAGGGTCAAGTGTTGATTCTTTTACCACATTTATACTTAAAGTAAAAACTTAACCAAAATTAATTTCTTGCAAACTTGTGGCTTTATTTAGGAACAAAGCTTATCAAACTTTATCTATGGAGCATTTTAATATAGTCACATTTAACATAAATAGCTATACAGAGCATTGTAACCAGAAACACACAATAAGAGGATCAATTTGATAAAATCAAATAAATAGAGTGATAAGATGAAACATTGTTGCTAATTGAAAAACAAGAGACTAAAAGGAGAGAAATTAATCAATTACACGTTTATGAAAAATAGCAAGAAAACACTAAGGACACTTATGTTGTTAAAGTAGAGAGGAAAAAATTAAATAGCATGCAGAAAATAAGTTAGAAACATGTGTAGTAATCATAGATAAATCTATAGACTCAAGAACTGTAAAAAGCAATATTCTCCTAACTTGTATCAGCACTTTTATTATTAACTATATTAGCAGGTGGAAAATAAGAAATCATACATGGATAAAATGGTTAGCATTAACGATAAAAACAAAGTGAAGAAAATTACAACATTTTTCAACAACAAATGTTGTATTTCTCATTCTTGATGCCAGAAGACCCCTTCCTGTAAAATTTCCTATAAGAGAAAATCATAGTTTGTCATTGTTAAGCATTTACTCCAATACTTTATATTAGAGATTCAATAGGATTTTGCTTTGATGAGCAATAAAAAAAGTACCAAATACTATGGAGATAAATTACTGGGAGAAAAAAGTTACACGTGAATTACAATTAACCAAATGTGTTTTTATTGCATGCAACTGTGTAAAACTAGTATAATAGAGAAAATAAACTGTGAAATAAATGAGCATCGTCTTGTTTTATTTTTTCCTCACAGTTTAAAGAGCCTTTTTGTAGTTCTGCATTGCTGTACTTAATAGCAGAAATAACCATGTAATAAAAAAAGTAATGAGGCCACATTTTGTTTTGTTTTTCATCTTGGAATAAAAATGTGTAACATGTCGTCTTCATCAGGCAAACTACATAGTAAAGTTATCACGCCACATCAGAGCAGTAAAAGTTTGGTTTGAAAGAAATTAAAATAATCAGTGGGTTAGCCCCAGTATGCATGCTGGCTTAATTTATCTGCTGGTAAAGACTTCGATTAAACACAGTGTAGCTTGCTAGATTTTATCTGAGGCTTGATTTCAGTGTAAATAAAAGCTGAAAAGAGGTATTCCCTGCTAAATCTACCTGGAGTGTTTCTCCTTCGTTCTCTGACCTCGGACTGTAGCCTCCCTTTCAGGCTAAATTTGACTCCTTGTAGACATCTCCTGCCACCTACCATCTGATCAAACACGTGGCGCTGGCCTTCTCCCCTCCGGTTGTGTCACTCTGAGTGGCCCTCTGAAGTCTGTTTGTCAAAACTTCCTCTCTCAGTGGTCCCAGTCTGTCACATCACCCAACAATGATAAAGAGGATAAAGAGACATTACATTGCACCGTCTGTGAAAATGTACCTAAAAATACAAATAGTACTGTAAACATTAAGATCAGTGATACAAAATCAGCCCAAGACAAATGCAAAAGTAAAAATAATATGTATAATTTAAAACTATGTCATAATTTATGATGTATACTTTGAAGTACCACTACAGTAGGTTCCACACTAAGTAGCGCTTCAACGCTTCAGAAAAAAGTAGGAAAGTTGAGTAGTTTAGAGTTCTGAGAATGATAGATGATATGGAGCGGTTTAATATATGATGGGAGCTGTGTATTAAAAGCTTTTTTAATAGAGCCAGGGTAGTAATTATAACATGGAAAAGATATGATGAAATCAGTGTCTTATCAGTCATATAGAGCCAAAGTTTTTCTAAGGAACCTTTTAAACATCCGGTTCACAATGATCAACCTTGTGGTATAACTTAGGAAATAAATTAACTTTTCAGCATCGTTCTAATAGTTTATAAAGGAGGTTAACTTTGACTATGTTCAATGTGGGATGAAGGCCAGATTTTGGAAAAAGGTCAAAGCAACATTCCTTTAAACTGCACTTGATATAAATTTGACAGTAACTGTTATAATGATTTTTAGAGGTCAGAAATAATAATTTCTGTTCATTCAGTGATAATATATCTTCCAGCCTCAACATCCATTAGACAGGCAGCAAATATCAATAGACTTAACAAAATGATAAAGCCTTCTCATCAGAATGTAAAAGTTTAGTGCTCTTTTTTGTGAAGAATATTTCTTTGGGAAATCTTCTCCAGAGGTTCTAGAGGAGTTCCTACAACAGAGCCGGCTTTCTTTACCAGTAGTTGCTTTGGATATATTTGGTTACAACCATAAAACACATGCATAAATGACGCTGACTTAGGGCCGTGCTTTGGTGCTGCAGCGGTTAGCGCATGACCCATGTACGGATGCCTTAGTCCTCGACGCGGCTGACTCGGGTTGGAAACTGACCCATGGTCATTTGCAGCATGTCCCTCTCCCTCGCTAATAGATACAAACTTATTATTTATATGTTTATGTGCACTCTACATACTATAATGTTTTATATTTACAGGCTTCAGAACAAGCGTGGGCTAAAGTAGATGTTTTTTATAGGATCAAGTAAGCCTCTCTCTAGACTTCAGATTTTATTTTTAAAAATGAAGAATATGTTTCATTTGATCTAATTCTATTTCATTTTAGTCCTTTTTTTTCTGAACCTAAATCCTGCATCATCATCATCATCATCATCATCATCATCATCTTCTTCATCATTTTATCTGCAGTAGTCCCTATTTCCTGTCCTCCTAAAATAAAATGGCAGCTTCTCTGTCGGCAATCCACAAAGTTCGTCTTGGTTTGACATTATCTAGACAGATATCGGATGGAGGATCCTTGTGCCGAAATGAGCAGGATTTGGTCAGTTTTTATCCCTAGCCAGTATTTTAGTGTGACTCCGCTTGAAGATGATTGATGTCTGCTGAATGACACCTACAAGCCCCTGTGCCTGGCATACTCCATGAAAGCAGGGAATACTGCACAGTTCAACTGTCCTATGTTCTTTTCCCAAGGTTGATCATTGTTGTTCATTGTTATCTGGATGTTTCAAAGATTCCTTAGGAAAACGGATCATGCAATTTTCTCTTCGTCAGGAGAGAATTGTAATCAGACTGCGGTCGTTTGAAGATGGAGCCTGAAAGAGCTTAAACTGGCTCAACTTAGGTCATTGTCTTTAAGTAACCACTTCATGGGACTTCAAGTAGAAATGTAGCTCTAACATGTGGTTGGGAAAAGTAGCTGGTTTGTTCCTTTTTGAGTCAGCCTTGCAGGCATAAGTCATTTAAAGAAAGCAGCACAAAATGACATCAGATAATAGAGGATGATTAAGTCTGACGAGGGAGAAGGAGAATGGAGATTGGAATCATGCGTGGCTTTTCCTTCCTTTATCTCTCAGGCTGAGTAAAATCCTATATCTGTTATGTGCCAAAGAGTTTGCACAATACCTGCAATGGCAAAAAAATGTCAATCTGAATCACAGATAAAGAACAAAACAGTTGTCCTGTGTGGACAAGATGCACAGGACGAGGAAGCTGCAGCGCAAGAACGAAAAGAAGAAAAATAATCCATAAAGTGATTAATGTTCCCACAGCTCAAAAACTCTCCAAAGTTCAGCTTCTCGATCAGGAGGTTGAGGAGGACCAGCCGGGGCAGAAACACATTAATGTTTCATTTTCTGATCCTAAATCTCTCCCTGAAACCGACTGTAGTCTCACGTTGAATTTCATTTTAGACTCATAAATAGATGTTTCAGAGCAGCCTGGCACTTTGACGGTCCTGAGAGGACAATAAATCATTTGGTCATACATACTGCAGTGGTGCCAGTCCCTCTGGATCAAAGAGCTCTCTCTCTCTGCATCTCTGCACCACTCCGCTGCTCAAGGATGAAGCTCAAAATTAGACTTTAGCATTCATACCACAGATGGGGTGTTAGGAGCCGTGCAAACATATTCGTACTCCTTGCACATTTTGACGCATTACAAAAAATGAACTTCACTGTGTTGTTTTGATTTTTAATGAGGTAAACCAACACAAAGAGGGGAGTTATTGCAAAGTGAAAGGAATATGATAGATATAAAAACTTTGATAATGCTTTTTTGTTTTCGGACTGCAGTGCACTTAAGGTCAGGGGTAAAGTCGAGGAGAGATTTAATGCAGGATTAGGTTATGAGAGAATGCATTAATCTTTAAACTCTGAACTCTTTACTCCATCATGTGTGAACTACCAGAGACTTATACGTATATTGACCTTGATGAAAAGTTTGCAAGAAGAAAGGCGTAAGTCCCATTCAAAGATCACATAAGTCATATATCTGAATGAGAATACGTGGCAAGACTTGAAAATTGAAATTCACAGTCTACTCTACATGCAGACTGAGCACACCTTGCAGAGAACAAGTAAAAATCTCTATATCTACATGTGCAAAGCTCATAGAAACAAAAGTTACAGCTGTAATTGCACTGAAAGGTGGTTCTGTAATGTATTAATTCAATGGAGGTTTAACACAAACTCACAAATACTTTTGGGATTTGTTTTAATATTTGAAAACTATGTTATGTATAATTCCAACTCACAATTATATACATTTTTATACTTGTCTGGCACATGCACATAAAAACATGCTAGAAAACTGTGAAGTTTATGGTTATAACGTGACAAAATGGGAAAAGCATGAAGGCACTGGAATATCTTCTAGCTTTCTATCCAACAGAAATTATTAAAAAGTGGTTGGTTGGTTAAGTTTTACGCTGCTCAGCAGGGCAATGATGCCTTCAAAATAAATTCCTGGTCCTTCCTGGGAGAGAGGAATATTACACCAACATATTTAATTGGCACATCATGAATTCATGAATCTCGCTGAGTAATTTAATATATTAATTTAGTGTAAGCTGTGGAACTTTTTTACTCTATGTGGTTTAATTAAGGAGGCATAACTACTCCAGACCACTCTATCTTTTTGGCATCACTGCTGTAAACTAAAAGGATTCATAGTTCAATGAACTCTCCTGTTACTCTTACAAAATCCTTCTCTTAGCCCTTACCTGATGGTTTCATTGCTGTGTTAATAAGGAGGAAAGAGCTTAAAGCAGACTGCCCTCTAGTGGATAAAATATATTTTTTCAACTTGGAGAAACTAGAAAGTGTATTTTGTATAAAGAAGTAAATACTTGAAAGTCTGATTTTTGTAAACCAAAATAGTGTACTGGATTTAAAGCTTCTGAATCATTCTTTTATTTTTTCTTACTTTTTTCCTTTTTTACTGTTTTATTGTACTATTAGAAAATACTTCAGACCTTTGGTTAATATATATCCCTTAAGATTGTTTTCTTCAGAGTATTGGACTTAGGCAGAATCTTATAAGCAGAAATAAAATGAAGCACGGTCCAGACTTGTAAATTACAATTAATGATGACCTGAAAAGGTCAGACATTTTAAAAGCATTCTTACTGAACTTTTAAAATGCAGCTGCATTGGCATCCTTCAGAGCTTTCCTCAAAATGTCTGAAAATATCACATTTATAAAAATCCTTGAGAATATGAGTAAGACAATAAACTTGTTCCTAAAACCCAATATAGGTAGTGCTTTCTTATAAAGTATATCAATAACCATGTGTTAACATGGTAATAACATAGCAAGTCACACATTATTACTTGGTAAAAACTTCATTTGGTAATTTCCCCGGGTATATATACATATATTACGGTATATGTGCAGGTAATTATAAAAGACAATATAACACTATCTTATCTGTAATTTAATAATATCCAAAATAAACAGCCAGATTCAAACATTTTTACCAGACATTAATGTTTGTACTAATTTACTTATGGACTGTGTGGAAATCTATGTAAGATAAAATCAATGTTAATATTCTTCATCTGTTTGTTCTTCTCTTTATCCTATTTCTAGAAGTATAAATAGTCTTATTAAATTACTATTATTATTTGGAACCCTAATAATGCTTTTTAACGAAAAATAGAAGGTATTTAGGCGCCATTTGTTGTTGTTATACTCTAAAAGAGAAATAACACCTACTAATAATTATACCTGAACTTCATCAAGAGTCATCAAAAAATGAAAACAGTAATAGCAACTAAATATCGGTAAAAAGGTAACACTCACATTTTCTTCTTTAGTTGGCTGTGGCTAAGAATTAGAAATGTTGATGGCTTACAGCCTTTATTTGCCCATTTTTCCAGCAGTCTTCAGAACTCCTGACTGACTATTTCGTTTTATAAAAGAAAAAAAAAGTTTTTGTTTTTTAGTAAACATGATATTCAATTTGTTTTGTTTTTGTTTTTTTTATCGGGACTTGTTTTTGTTTTTTAGCCTAATATTAATTGTAGTAACCGCAGCATTCTAGTGTGAATAAATTTTCGATTTTGCGCTCCAAGCACAGGACTAGAAAACAGCCAATCAGAGAGAGAGAAGGCGGAACCTAAGGCAGAACAACCAATGAGAGTGGAGTTAAACAGCGCAGCACAGTACCATTCACTGCTAGGAGAAAGGGACAGGAGAGACCAGACAGAGGAGCTGCGAGAGGAAAAGAAGTCCCTGCTGCAATAACTACTGCTGTAAATTATAAACATGTTGCTCACATCCAATTATTGGTAGGGACATGTTCCTATGGTCCCTATGCAAACCTACGCCCATAAGGCAGCTGCTCATCATCATTTTTTACATCATACACGTCAGCAGATGATTAGACATCCATATATATATATATATATATATATATATATATATATATATATATATATATATAGTTTTACATAAGCCTACAATAAGAGCTAAAAAGTAGATTAAAGACAAAACTTTAATCTGCTTTTCTGATGTTTAGATTTAACCCTTTAAAGCCTGAAGAAATAATTGACAGACAATTCTATTTCTGTTATTAGAGTTGTCAATTAACTTTCTGACAAAAGAAATAAAAAGCATACTTTTTGAATAAGTTACATTTGAGCCTTCATTTGTATTACTTTTTCTGTTGATATATTATCCATCCCCACAGCCATCTGAAAGACCTGTTTTGACGCAGTCTTGTATTTCTCACTCATCCTCTCCACTTCAGACTTTGAAGCGTCGCATTTGATTCTCAGTCTTTCTATGTCTTCAGTGAGTTTGTTGTTCTCCTGGACCAGCCTTCTGTGCTGCAGCCGCTGGCCTTCTCTTGCTCTCCGCGCCCTCTGAAGGGCTCCAGCTGCTTCACGCGCCATCCGCACGTACTCCTCCTTTTCCCGCACAGCTTTTTTCAGCTCTCTGGTCAAACTCTGGATCTCAGTGTACACTTCCGGGATCGGGCCGATCCGCTCATCATCCAACTCTCCTTTCTGCACCAGCTCTGCCCATTCATTTTCCAAACACTCCATTGTTGCCGTCATTTCATTTTGTGAAAGGAAAGGGCGAAAAAAATCCAGCATCGACAGCTGTTGCTGGGTTGGACGGAGCGTCTTAACGGTCGGATCGGCCTCTGCTCGGTGCTGCGTGGTTATAATTTCCTCATCTTCATCTCTAACAAGATTTATTTCGTCTTTCAAAAAGTTCTCCTCATATTTAAAGCTGTCATCTCTGTCTTCGGGTGATTCGCCGTGCTGTTTCATTTGATTCCTGGCAGGGGACTCTATCTCCATCATTCAATTAAACTCAACCAGACACAAAGTGTCGTCATGGTTACCGAAGATGGGCTATCAACGCGAGATTTTAGAAATTCTCGTCCCGTCCGTCGTCAAACAATCATGGCGGACTACCGAGAGGCGCCCTTGGCAACTCGGCCGAAAACATTGGACCCAAATGAATATTTCAATCTTTCTCCGGATCAGAGGCGAGCAGAGGATGCCCGGGCAGCACTGCGGGCCAACCTGAAGAGGACCTACCAGTTGCAGCTCAACAATCCCCACAGAGCCGAGCTCATTGTAAGCGGCTAAGCTAGCATACTAGCAACCAAAGTCACCCCTGCTTGAAGAGAGTTTAAAGTGGACTGTTTACAGATTTACCGATCCAGAACAAAAAAAAAAAAAAAACTCAGTCCGGATTAAATATTTGTAATTTCAGTTTATATTTAGTCTGTTAAAATAGCTCAAACGGTTCTGCGTGGTAGACGTTATCCAAATAACGCATAGCTAGCAATGATTCAGAGCAACCAACATATCCCCCTTCAAAAGGTTAAACATTAGTTTATATTTTTTTAAAACAGCTTTTTCAGTGGGGTTTTATTGCTTAGTTGGCTGTTATCTGCCTTAATATTTGATATTAGGATGTAAACTATAGGATGTTGAAAAATTGAAGTATGTAATTTCCTTAATGTTTTAAGTAAACTGGACACTTAAGGAACAAAACAAGATAAATAAAAGAAAAAGGGAGTTGAAGGGTTTTGCCTGAACAGAATATTTATTTTATTTTCCTTTAGATGACCCGGAATATTTGCTGAAGAATTAGCATTCATAGGCTTTAATAAATGAGCTATTGAAGAGAAAATTTGGCAAATTTTGCAAATCGATTAATCTGTCAATTATTTTTATGATTAAACTGTTAATAATCAGATAGCAAAATGTTCCTTAAAGAAGAATTTTTATCAAATGAAACCAGGAGAAACTAAAACTTTTCCACTTAAAGAGTTCTGGATAGAGCATATTGACAGATGAAAGGGTGTTTTTCAGTGTTATTACATGCAAAATGTTTACATAATTGTTTTACAATACTGCTCTAAGTGGGTCGCTCTGTCAGGTAAAGGCATGTTTTACAGTCTCTACAGTCCGGTTAATGTTTAATCGATTACTAAATTAGTTGACGATTATTTCTATGATAGATTAATCACGATAAATTTGATTAATTGTTTTAGCCCTACTTGAAAGTTTTACAGTCTATTCAAAATCCAGAAATCGATGAAACTCCTCTTCTTAACGAATTGAAACATATCTGTCAATATATTTCTCATGTAGTCACCTTTAAGCAACTTTAGAAAGCGTAGATCTCATGATCTTACAACTCTGAAGATTGAGGACCTTGTTGATGCATAGACATTTTTAAAGAATCAGAATCCTTTTTTTCCTGATTACAGTGAAGTTTAATAAATAAGGTTTACTATTTCACAATTAATTTTTTTAACATAAAATGTCCCATCATTTTATATGTTATGGAAGGATGACTTGAAATGAGATGCTTTTTGTTTTGTGTATTAAAATATCAAAAGAAAGAGAATACAGTTCAGTTAGTGGTCCCATAATTCAAGCTAATTACAGTTAAAGTCAAACTATTATTGAGTAAATCATAATCTGTGGATAAAAGTGTCTGCGAAATGCATAAACATTAAATATTATTTTAAATGTCTGATTATAGGAAGACCCTGCCCTGACGCGATGGGTTTATGCACGAGCTAACCCCTATCCTCACTTCAAAGCCACAAAGAAGACCTCTCTGCTCGGCGCCATGTTTGGAGTGGTGCCCCTTTTTGTCCTCTATTACGTCTTCAAGACGAACCGGGTATGAGACATGATGCTGAGCTGGTTTCTTTGCCTCATCTATTATGGTCTGGTTTACCTTTAGGCCTAATCATCCAATGCTTATTTGATTTTAGAATAATGTTCTTTAAAATTGTAATATAATACAAGTAGATACATCAGTTGTATACACAAATAATATTTATAACAGCTTGTTTTAAAACATTTTTGTTTAAAAATATTTGTAGCATTGAATATTTTTTCATTTTGTTTTCTGGGGGGGGGGGGTGAATTTAGGTTTTTTTATGTAAAACTAAAATATTGTTTCTTTATTTCCATTTGTCAAATGTAATGTATTGACAAAAACCAAGTAAAGCAATTTAGTAGTTTGCAAAAATATAGAAACATAGTATTTGTTTTTGTTTTAAAAAAAAGTCTCCTTTTAATACCGGTATTTCTTAGCATTTATCTATATTTACCTGCTATTTTACTTAAAATGTGGCACAATCTTCATTTTAATGAGATTACTTTTTTTTTAACCTTTTTAAACCATGTTACACTTTTAATGACCTTCTGTTGAATGTAATCTGTCACAGTGTGGTTTATCTAACCATGGCTGCCTGCATAATTTCTTTGAATTTGAGTTTATAGAGATGAGTTATATTATAGACAACCAAAGGTGGTAGAAATTGTTCCTTCCTGTAATGTTCCTTCTCAGACAAGCATCAATTCGCATTAGAAAGACATGCTTAGGTTGAAATCTCCGTGCTTCCAATTTTCTCCCCATTGTCATGGAGATCAACCCTGGAAATCATCACCAATTCCAGTGAAAATTTGCTGCCATCACCTTCAACTCTTTAGTCAGCTTGTATATCACAAAAAGTCCCCCCCACGCACACACACACACACACACACACACACACAATGCATGCCATGGGGGGTATGTTTCTTTGTTGCTATGGAAACTATACCCAGCAGTGATCTGTTTGTCATTTGTTTTACAGGATAACAAGGAAGAGAGGATAAAGGCTGGAACCCTCGAGCGCAAGTTCAGTTTATCCTCATGAGATCTGCTGGGAAAGTTTCCCCCATAATGTTCATGAAATGTTGCTGTGTGTAAATTTATCTAACAGAATAAAATCATATTGTCAAAAATTATGTGACTTTGATTTCCAAGGAAAGTTTTGATGGGAAGAAAAGGAAGTCATTGAGAAAATGTCAGGTCAATATAGAGAGAAAATTGTAATGAATTTTAACAGGGAAGTGCAGTTTGTAAGCAAAGCTTTATTCTTTAAAACATAGGGAATAACCTTTGTTAACTTTACGCATTTCACTGAAATAATTACCTTTTTATGGTTTTGGGGGTTTTTTTAAGCTGAAAAGAACATTTTTGCTGGAAGCTAATTCCCCTGCACATTTATTGGTAATTGGCAAACAGCTGCGACAAGACAATGAGGCTGGTTTTTATTTTCATTTTTCAGAGCAAAATAATTATTTTCGAAGCCATTCGCTTCAGTATTTTGATCAGAATATTTTCTAAGGTTTGGAGGTCTGTTACTGCTTGCTTGGCCTCCAGTTGGGGTTAAAGTGGCTGCGCAGTGGTTCCCAGCACTGGTAGTAACTCTTATCCAGTCTCTGGCAGGTTTGCAGACCCCACTTAGTCACAGCCATACTGAAGGAGGACTCGAACATGAATGCCTGAAAGAACAAAAGAACATAAATGATCTCTTACTGACTGCAGCACTGACTAAATCATCTTTTCTTAGCATCAGTCAGATGGTCACTCGTCATGAACATAACCAAATTATTTCTGCCATTTTCTTTGGGTGGAATCCTATGAAATACAACCTGAAGTTTTTAGGTTTTTTTCATATCGTGTGCAAACTAAAATCTTGTCTGGTTTCTCTCAATTTTACTCAAAAAAAAAATATATATATATATAAATATACCTACATACATACCCAATAATATTTGATTCATTTTTATTGTTACACACTAACTAAAGTTTTCTGTTGGCATGGAGGTGGTCCAGTTATTCTCTGTGAACAGCTAACTGCTCTCTTTATCTGAATACTTTAAATTAAAGGAATTCAAGTTGTTTAGTTCCTATTTTCACAATGTAATCTATATACTCTTAATTATAAGGTGACCTGTAGCTAGAAAACTGCCCATAATCTAGTTTTGAGCTGTTTTCTGAGGTCACACTACTTTTGGAGCATCTATTTATGTACCAGGTTTCAACAACTAGATTAAGATTGGAAGAGAAGCACAACGTGGAGTTCTCTGCACCAATTATCCACCCACTGGTATCACAACCAAAACAAAATGCCATGGTATTGCTGCCACGGTACACATTTTCTACATTTGTCTATGCTTTAAAAAAAAAATTGTACTCATTCTGACATTTTCTGTTGTCATTGTGGCTAAATAGCTCAGTATTTACCTCACTTGACAATAAAACTCACAATTAAATCCTGTTGATGATAAGCTGCAATCTCTAGATAGATAATGCTGCATAACCTATTTCCCTTTCATTAAAGAACAACATCATGTACCAGATGGTTCAAAAAAGGAAAATAAGTTATTAACTAAAAAAGGACCTGGATTTTTTGTTTGTGATGCATAAAGCTGGAAAGTGCTATCCTTAACCATTGCTCTGTGCGAAGATACCAACAAATTCAAAGGAGATGTTCGGATTTTTGATGATACCTGGTCAACTATTTGGTTCAGTTTAAAAATACTGTATGATTCTGAAGAAAGGGTTAAATTCCAGGCTTTTTTCCCCCAATGAGTTGTGTATTTTAATAGTTGTAGGCAGGCAGGGCCTTCTTTAGCAGTCTCTCTTGCATCCATATCCAGACAGATCTATTGCCAGGAACTGCTTTATGACTACAGAAACTTCTGTTGTTGTGCCGCTTGATGGAGAACATGGTTTAGCATAATATCATAGGGATTGTTTCTGAATATTTTGGACCGTTAGGGTTAGAGAAAGTCCACAATAAAATCATACCAGTGCAACAAATCATATTTCTTTAAGTTGCAGGTTGTATAATCACCCCTGCCTTCTGTTTACCTCCATCATTATAAAATTAAAATGAGTGTGTAGCCAATAAACGCCTCCGTATGTAGTTTTACCATGGTTCCTTCAGCCACCCTCTCTGGTTTCAGCTCCGCTGTGCTGCAC